ACTTTTTTTAGCTGATAAAGTATCATAACACTACTTTCTATAAAGCAAAATAGATTTTATTATTGTCTGAATAATAATAAACAAGTTTTATCCAAAAAGTCAGAATAAATATATAAATACATCAATTTAAAATTAAAACTGCTTTCTCTTTGCAAGTTGTTCCAGTGTCTTGCTGATGAAATCATGGTTTCCTTCAATTCATTGAATTTCCTTAGGAAGGAAATCTTTTCAGTTAACCATTCTGATATCTAAAAAGAAGAAATATTATTCTCACAGACAAATCATATCATGAAGATTATTTTAAAATAATAATTAATATTACCCATCCCATATATGTAAGGCATTGTTCAATGACTTACGTTGTATCACCTCATTAATTATCCCTCTAAGAGAATTTGCAGATGAGGACAATGAACAGAAGTAAAAAAAAAAAAAATGTACCTATGCTTATATGGACGATGCCTGCAATCAAGAAGTTAATCAGAACTGTATGTCTATTCATTAATTTATACTGCCTCTCAATAAATATTTTGGTAATTCTGTGCAACAAAATATCATTGCCTATAAAGCATCTGAAAGATAGATATTTGCTACAAAATAGCCTTGTTCATTTGACATTTTGTATTTTATATGCATATCATGTAATTAAAGCTTCTCCTTGTATCCTCAATATCTACATAGTATCTGGCAGACATTAAATAAATCATTACTAAATGAACAAATACATGAATGAGTTAACAGTGGATTAACATATGTAATGCCAGAAGTAGGCTACTGAAAGCCCTAAGTAATCAGCTCTGAAATTTAACACTAAAAAATTTTTAAATTTTCCTTTATGAACACACAAGCACACAATCTAATCTTCAAAATTCATTAAGGAGTATGTTAGCATCTGCAATAAAAAAGTGAGTTCATAAAAGCTTCAAGTTTGGCGATATGTTTAGGAAGTGGAAGAGCTTCCAATCAAACTCATGTTTTCTGATTCTTAATTTGGTCATTCCCTATTACATATACTCTACAAGAAAAAGAGATTACATATTGATTTTGACTCATTATATTAAAACTAAATAGAAGAATCATATGGTCTATTAAATCACCTTAAATTACTTATAAAAATACCCCCTATACATTTTAAATGATAAAAAGTGTCTTCCTTTTCTGTGGCTGCGGAAAAAAAAAATATATATATATATATATATATATATATATATCCCATCACATACACAAGAAAATATTTAATTGGGCTTAAAGTTTCATAGCATTATAGTCCATTAGAGTCCATTACATCAGAGCAGAGGCATGGCAGCAGGAACAGCTAAGAGTTCACATCATGATCCACAAGCAAGAGGTAGAAAGAGACACTTTGGAATGATGCCAGTCTTTAGAAACCTCAAGGCTATATTCCAGTGACACATCTTCTCCAATAAGTTCATGCCCTAATCCTTCCCAAACAGTTCCACAGTTCCAAACATATGAGCTTATGAGGACCATTCTCTTTCAAATCATCACAAATATTTAACAAACACAGTTGTTCTTTATGTTAAAATACAAGAGAATTTGCTACTTATTACATTCTAACAAAAATGTGGATGAGGAAGCACTGGTAATCAAACATTGTTACATCATAAGAAAAAATTTGAATGAATGTAATTTTTAGAACTAAGGGATCGGAAAAATGATCAAAATATATTGTTTGAAAGTTTTCAGTAAAAAAGATATTTTTAAATTACTACTTAGATAAATGATATTGATATTAATCTTATCAATTGCTTCTGATTTATTGAATTTTTCAGTACATATTGATGTCTAGCGATAATATTGAACAAACATTTTAATAAAATACTGTTAGGTTAAAACCCATTTTCTTAAATCATTAATCCATGTAATTCTTTCCAAAACCAATATGGTATATAGTCTACTACACATATCATTGGTGTAATGGAAGTTCTTTAATTGTTCAGGATTGTTTCATCTACCCTGAATTTTTTGCTTTTCCATTTGAAGTTCAGTATTGTCCTTTAAAATTCTGGAAGAATTGTGTTGAATTTTTATTGTGAATTGAGTTGAATCTTTAGATTCCTTTTAGTAGGATGACTATTTTTACTATGTTAATCCTACTGACCCATGAACATGGGATATCTTTCCCTCCTTTGCTATCTTCTTTAATTTTAAGTTTTGCCATATAAGGATTTCACTTGCTTGGTCAGGGTTACCCAAGATATTTTACTGATTTTTAATATTGTGAAATGTGTTATTTCTCAGATTTCTTTCTCAATCTATTTCTCATTTCTACACAGGATGCATACTTTTCCTTTAGTTAGTCTTGTACCCAGCCAATTCACTGGAGGTATTTATCAGCTGTAGAAGTTTCTTGGTAGAATCATTGAATTGGCTTATGTATACTGTCTTATCACCTAGAAATAACGATACTTTGACCTTGACCCTTTGAATTTGTGTCCTCTTGATGTCCTTCAGTAGTCTTACTGTTGCAGACAATATATTTAATAGGTAGGCATAGAGTAGACAGCCTTATCTTGTTCTTAATTTTAGTGGAATTGCTTTGAGCGTCTCTCCATATGCTTTGATGTGGGCTCTGGGCTTGTTATAAATTGCCTTTATTATATTTAGGTATGTCCCTTTCATCCTTAATATCTCTAAGACATTAATCATTAAGGGGTGCTGGATTTTGTCAAAAGCTTTCTCAGAATCTAATGAGATGATCTTATGATAATTTTTCTTTCAATTTGATTATATGGGGGATTATGTTACAGATTTTCATGTTAAACCATGCCTGCATGTCTGGAATGAAGCCTACTTAATTATGATAAATTATCTTTTGGTTGGGTTCTTGGATTCAGTTTGCTAGTATTTTAATGAGTATTTTTGAATCTATGTTCATAAGGAAAATTGGTCTGTAATTTTTTTGGTGGATTATTTGGTGGTTTTGGTATCAGGGTGATTGGGGCCTCATAAAGTGAATTTGGAAAAGTTCTTTTTGTTTCTAATGTATTCTATTTTTTTTAGAATAATTTGAGGAGTATTGTTGTTACCTCTTCTTTGAAAGTCTGAAAGGATTCTGAGCTAAAACCATCTGGCCTGGGCTATTTAAGTTTGGAGATTTTAATGACTGCTTCCATTTCAATAGGTTGAGTTGTTTATCTCTTCTCGATTTAACTTTCGTGAAAAGTATCTATTAAGAAATTATACATTTCTTTTAGATTTCCAATTTTGTGAAGTACAGGAGTACATGTTGGTAAAGCATGATCTGATGATTCTTCCAATTTCTCCAGTGTTTATTTTTATGACCATCTCTCCCCTTCATTTCTGATTTTATAAATTTGTCTATTCTCTCTCTGTCTTTTAGTCATTTTGGATAATGGTGTGTTGTAATATGTGTGAGTTTTAGGTGTCCATTTCCTCTGTGATATTTATTTCTTGTTAATTGAAATCCAAGCAGTTTTTTTCCAGCCATGCAGTGAATACTGATGAGTCCAGTAAAGGCAGTTTGACTTCTGTTACCATGGTCTTCACTGCTAGCTTTGTCATTTGACATCTTATGGATTCCAACTCCCTACTACAATTACCTATGGATATATGTGTTGTCCACATTTCTATTTGTTTGAGCAATTGTAATAATAGTTATTTTAAATGTTCTGTCTGACAGTGCATTTATGTATGTCATATCTTTAGCTTGGTTGAATTATTTTATCTTGGCAATATTTCCATTTCCTTTTATTGCCATTTTCTACAGGTCATAATTCTTTGTTTAAGTTCAAGGCCTTGTGCAGAACATTAGAGACTTGAGTAAATAGTTTCTATGCCTTTAGATGAGAATGGTTGCCCTTTGGCTAGTGCTTGGGTTTGAATCCATCTACTCAACAATTGAGCAAGGTTTCAGATTTGTTCTGACCAAAGTTTCTCTTACTATCCAGGCTTCATATTCCTCCACTACAGTTTTGTCTTTGGGATTGGCAATAGAAGAACAGAGGTTTTCCCCAACATCAATTCTTCTAATATCAACTTAGAGAGTTCCTTTTGATTGTACTACAGAGGTCTCTCTGCATGCTCTTTATCTCTCCCTACTTCTTGCTTATTATTTAAAATCTATTAGTCTGGCTGATGGAGGATCCCTCTGATATATATTCCTTGTTATTCTAATTAATCTTAAATATTAAATGTGACTCTGAGTCTAGAATTGCTGGAATTCTTAGAATTCCAGTTTTTTCTACCATCTACTTTTATGTTTTTCTTTCTCACCACTTTTTATTTAAAATAGAAACAAGATTATTTTACATGTCAATCCCAGTTCCCTCTGCTTCCCCTAACCCCTTCCTCCCCCCAACTAACACCATACCTATCCCATACCCTTTCTGCTGCTCAGGGAAGGTGAGGCCTTCCATAGGGGATCTTCTGGTTATGTCATATCCTTTGGGATACGACCTAGGCCCACCCCCTGTGTCTAGGCTCAGGGACTATCCCTCTATGTGGAATGGGCTCCGAAAATCTATCCCTATGCTAGGGATACATACTGATCTACTACTTACAGATTTCTGAGAGCTCCTCACTGACACCCACATTCATGGGGTCTGGACGAGTCCCAGGCTGGTTTTCCAGCTATCAGTCTGGGGACCAAGAGCTCCCCCTTGTTCAAGTCAGATGTTTCTGTGGGTTTCACAAGCCTGGTCTTTACCCCTTTGCTCATCACTCCTCCTTCTATGCAACTGGATTGCAGTTCAGTTCAGTGTTTTGCTGTGGGTGTCTTTTTTCACTTCCACCAGCTGCTGTGTGAAGGCTATAGGATGGCATATAAGTCAGCCATCAATCTCTTTATCAGGGGAGGGTATTTGAGGTAGCCTTACCTCTGTTGCTTAAATTGTTAGTTGGTAAACCTGGAAGCAACCTAGATGCCCCTCAACTGAAGATTGGATAGAGAAAATGTGGTACATTTAAACAATGGAGTACTACTCAGCAGAGGAAAAAAAAAAAAAAAACAATGGAATCTTGAAACAGGCAGGCAAATGGATGGACCTAGAAGAAACCATTCTCAGCGAGGTAAACTGTTACAATCTACTTTTAGATATTCTTGCTCTTTCCTTACAGAAGCACACGATGTGTAACAGTCACTCCCCTTCCTGTTAGTTTTCAATTCTGGCATCCTAACCATGGCTTGCTTTCTTATTGCTGACATTTTAAGTTATTTCTGGAGAGAAAAACCCCAGTTGTGTTTCCTCTCTCCCTCTAACAATGTGCCTATATATCACCTAGAATAACATTAACTCAATTTTTAGTTTTATCTATAGGCATCTAACTCATGTAAGCAAGTTGCATAAACTAAGTCATGTTTTTATGACAGCTTTTTAAAAGTTCAGATTTCTAAGGAGACTGAGGAAATATGAGTTTGAAAAGCATTGTAATTGTTGAATTACTGTTCAAATGTTTGGAATTAAGATCCTTATAATTTTTATATCCAAAGAGATGTTCTAAATTTCTTGGTAGGTATGACAATAATAGATAGCACCACACTCCTTTAAATGATAACATGAAGTCCCATTAAGTTCAACAGAAATAAAAGCAATGACTGAAACAAATAAAAACTTATAATAAGGGTTAAATAATAAACACTTTGTGCTCACTAGTTTGCCTTAAATTACCACAAGGAATTGGCAAAATAACCACAGAAATGTTACATACTATTTTACATAGGTCATAGAATACTTTTGAGACATTACAAGATTAAAAACAAATACACTGATTTTTTTCAGAAAGTACACTTTATGTAGAAGTGATAGAAAATTTTTATTTAATATTTTAATATGCATAATACACATAATGTGTTTAGATTAAATCTATCCCCCATTCCCTTCCATTCAATCCTCCTCCATTCTTTCCAATACTACTCTTTAATTTTATGTGTTCTTGCTCTTAATATAATACAAAATGAAGCCACTTAATACTGTCTGTATGTGCATGGTTATGGGACCACGTACTGGAGCATGGGTAGTGTCTCGGGCCTTCATCCCCCACAAAGTGACTCTCCTTCTTCCATCAGCTGTCACTGGCTCTTCAAACAGAGAAGATGTCATGAGACTTTTCTCCATGAATTCAGGGATTGTGGGTGCCTTGATTTTGTGCAGTCATGTGCATATAGTTCCAACTACTGAGATATCAGTTGTCAGGCTGTAGTAAAATTGCACAAGTAGTTATCTAAATTATCATGCTTTACAAAATGCTAGAGCACATCATAAAACATGAAGTCAAATAAAGCTATCATAAAATATGAATAACTGTGGAGCAAAACTATTATCACAATTATTTGAATAAGAATTTATCAGACTAAACAAATTGATTTCCCTAACAAAATTTCAAAAGAAAAAAAGGAGCACTACAATATCCTCCTCTAAATTAACTTTTGTGGAAGTATTTTAACATAGCAACAGAAATGAAACTAAGGCTGTGAGATTTCTGACTGTTATACAGGAAAGAGTTTATTTTATAATTTTTCCTAACAGTATTTTCATAGCTTTAGCTATAACTATGCCATATTTTGCCATATGAAAATTGCCCACTTTATTTATTTTTTTTTTCAGTGAAATCCATGCTTGACTACTTCTTTGTAAGGAACCCTACCCCACTCCACCTCTGAAAATATCCAAGGCCTTAACCTAAGATGCCAGCTCCTTGAGATTGCTGGAGAAAAGCAAATGACACTAACCTCAGACACCTTTTAATTACAGAAATAGATAACAGGCTCTATAGTTTTGTGGTATGCATACCCTGATGCTCTATAATTGGTCTTAAGACCTGCTCAACAAGAGGGAACTCACACCCAGAACTGGAAACCTAGCCAACTACTCAGATCTAGTTAAGCAATGGATGGTGGAAGAGAACCCACAACTGCCACATTCCTAAAGCAAAATAAACTGTAACTACTTTCTAAATATTTGTATGAATTGTAGATCTCATATCATAGCAAGAAACTTTGGTGAAACAGGTGAAGAACATTACAAAAACCACACAGCAAATAAATACACAAAGTGTAGAGCCCAGTTACAACATGTACATCTACAATACAACTCTTGCATCTATGGCTCAGAGATCATTGCCAAAGAGAGAGCAGAAAGATTGTATGATCCAGACTATCCGAGAGTTTGACATGCAATTGTGTTGCCCACCCATATGTCTCACCAACATGACTGCCCAATCGTGAATTGAATAAGGACAATAACAATAGACTTATTCACATAAATGGGCAAAGCCAAAGAGGCCACAAATCTACACAAAGAACTGCAAGGAACTAATGATGAGAGTAAGAGAAATAGTTTTCAATGAAAGAGCATACTAGCTGATGATCCAACACCAAAGGATCAGCCTTGAAAACATACATACATACATACATACATACATACATACATACATACAAGTAACATTGTACAGCCTCAGTGGAATGCATTTACATATTTAGGAGTGTGTGTGTGTGTGTGTGTGTGTGTGTGTGTGTGTAGCCTCAAAATTGAAGGGTGTTTGCATGCGTGCATGTGTGTGTAGGGATGTATTTAGGAGTGTGTGTGTGTGTGTGTGTGTGTGTGTGTGTGTGTGTGTGCACACGCACTTGTGTTTGCATGCGTGCATGTGTGTGTAGGGATGTACTTAGGAGTGTGTGTGTGTGTGTGTGTGTGTGTGTGTGTGTGTGTGGCAGAGACAGAGAGTAACAATAAGTAATAAAGAAAAAGGCCATAATTTGAAAGAGAACAAGGAAGAGTATGTAGGTGGGTTTGAAGTGAAGAAAAAGAAGTGAAAATGATATAATTTTATATAATTTCAAAATCTAAAAGCAAGAATTAAATATTTTTAAATTTAAAAACAAACAACTCTTATCTATGAAAAGTATCTAACACCTTTTCGTCCATCCTTGCCTACAGAATCCCAACATTAAATCAGTGTTCTCTTGAACATTGGGCATTCTATTGCTGGGTCTTATCCCCTGATCATAGTGTAGCCAGATTTTGAAAAGTTAGCTGTTGAGGTAGTCTAAATTTTCATTTCTTATTATTCCTACAATTTTAACTGTTATACTGAGTGTATATGTTATGGGTTATATATGACATACATCGTTCAGAAAGCTTTACATAGAGACCCAGTATTATCTGTCATTTCAAGTGTTACTAACTTGGAAAATACATTCCTAATTAGACCTACTCATTTCTTTCAATAAGGTTTCTTGTGAATGCCATGAATTTTCCATTGGGAAACAATTTTGAATGTTCAAGCATCATAAAAATTGATCCAGTGAAGAAGAGATGGACCTCAAAAATTATCTTACAAAGATGATAGAGACCTTTAAAGAGGAAAAAAGAATAATCCTTAAAGAAATGGAAGAAAAAATAAACAAAAAATTACATGAAGCGGAGGAAAAAGACAAACCAAAAAATTCAAGAAATAAACAAATCTCTTAAAGAATCTAAAGAAAGCCAAGAAAAAAGAACCAAACAAGTGAAGGGAACACTCAAAACAGTTCTAGGCATGAAAGCTAAAATAGAAACAATAAAGAAAACACAGAATGAGGTGATGGTGGAAATAGAAAGGCTGGATAAATGATCAGGAACTAAAGATGTGAGTATAAGCAATAGAATTAAAGTGATGGAAGAGAGAATCTCAGTTGTTGAAGACTCTCTAAAGGATATACAGTTATCGGCCAAAGAAAACCTCAAGTCCAATAAATCCCTAACACAAAATTTCCAGGAAATATGGGACACTGTAAAAAAGCCGAATCTAAGAAAAATAGGTATAGAAGAAGGTGAAGAAATACAGCTCAAAGGTACAGAAAACATATTCAACAAAATCATAGAAGAAAACTTCTCCAACCTGCAGAAAGATATGCCTATGAAAGTACAAGAAGCATACAGAACACCAAAGAGACTGGACCACAAAAAGAAGTCCCCTCAACACATAATAATCAAAACACAAAACCTACAGAAAAAAAGAGAAAATATTAAGAGCAGCAAAGGAAAAATCCTAAGTAACATATGAAGGCCGACCTATTAGAATCACACCCGTCTTCTCAGTGGAAATTTTGAAAGCCAGAGGTCCTGGATAGATATCCTACCAACACTAAAGGAACATGAATGCCAACCCACACTATGGTACCTAGCAAAACTTTCAATCACTATAGATGGAGAAAAGAAGATATTCCATGACAAAGCCAGACTTAAACAACACATATCCACAAATCCAGCACTACAGAAAGTTCTGGAAAAAAAAACTCCAAGCCAACGAAAATAATTACACTCAAAAAAAAATATAGGTAATAGATAATCCAATTTTACCAAACACTAAAAGAAACAAGAGGGAGAAATATACACACATTGACACCACCAACAATAAATCCAAAACAAACAAGAACGAACAATCAATGGACATTAATATCCCTCAATGTCAATGGTCTTAACCTGCCCATAAAATGATACAGTCTGTGTATGAAGACAGAATCCATCCTTCTGCTGTATACAAGAAACACACTTCAACTACAAAGACAGTCATTACCTCAGAGTAAAGGATGGGAAAAGATTTTCCAATCAAACGGGCCCAAGAAACAAGCTGGTGTAGCAATCCTATTATCTAACAAGTTAGACTTCAAACTAAAATCAATCAAAAGAGATGAAGAAGGGCATTTCATACTCATCACAGGCAAAGTCCATCAAGATGAAGTCTCAATCCTCAACATCTCTGCCCCAAAAACAAAGGCACCCACATTTGTAAAAGAAACATTACTAAAGCTCAAACTATACACAAAAACACATACACTTATAGTAGGAGACATCAACACCCTGTTTTAATCACTAGACAGGGCCACCAGAGAGAAACTTAACAAAGAAACAAAAGATCTAACCGAAGTTATAAACCAACTGGGTTTAACAGATACCTATAGAACATTCCATCCTAACACTAAAGAATATACCTTCTTCTCGGTGCCACCTGGAACCTTCTCTAAAATTGACCACATAGTTGGCAACAAAGCAAGCCTCCACAGATACAAAAGAATTGAAATAACCACCTGTATCCTATCAGATCACCATGCTTTAAAGTTAGAATTCAACAGCAATACAAATTGCAGAAAACCTACAAATTCCTGGAAATTGAATAACACCCAATTGCACCATTCTTGGGTTGAGGAAGAAATAAAAAAGAAATTAAAGACTTCCTAGAATTTAAGGAGAATGTAGACACAAATTACCCAAACATATGGAATACTCTGAAAGCAGTGCTAAGAGGAAAGTTCATAGCACTGAGTGCTCACATGAAGAAACTGGAGAATAGTCACACTAGAGAATTGACAGAACAACTGAAAGCTTTAGAGCAAAAAGCAGCAAATACACCAAAGAGGAGTAAACGCCAGGAAATAATCAAACTGAGGGCTGAAATCAATAAAGTAGAAACTAGGAAAACATGACAAAGAATCAATGAAAAAAATAGTTGGTTCTTTGAGAAGATCAACAAGACAGACAAACCTCTATCCAAACTAAGCAAAAGCCGGAGAGAGAGCATGCTAAATAACATATTCAGAAACAAAAGGAGGGATATAACAATGAACACTAAGGATATCCAGAGAATCATCAGGTCATACTTTGAAAACCTGTACTCCACAAAATTCAAAAATCTAAAGGAAATGGACAATTTTCTGGATAGATATCACTTATCAAAATTAAACCAAGAAGAGATAAGCAGTTTAAATAGACCTATTACCCCTAATGAAATAGAAGCACTCATCAAAAGCGTCCCAACCAAAAAAAGCCCAGGGCAAGATGGATCCACTGCAGAATTCAACCAGAAATTCAAACAAGGGATACTACCAGTACTCCTTAAATTGTTCCACACAATAGAAGCAGAAGCAACATTGCCAAACTCTTTTTGCCAGGCTACAATGACTTTGATACCCAAACCACACAAAGATACAACTAAAAAAGAGAACTACACACCAACATCCCTTATGAACATCGATGCAAAAATACTCAACAAAATATTGACTATTCAAATCCAAGAATACATCAGAAAAATCATCCACTTTGATCAAGTAGGCTTCATCTCAGGGATGCAAGGATGGTTCAACATACGAAACATCCATCATGTAGTCCACCATATAAACAAACTGAAAAAGAAAAACCACATGATAATCTCACTAG